TAGGTTTCAATTCTCTAATTAACCGCTATATGCTCAACGTTATTTGCTTGAATCCCAAGTATTCAATTTACGCTTGTCTGACCGGAACCAGCTTTCGTATACAATTTCGAAAAGTTAAGAGAGAAAAACTAATTAGGTATAACGTAAAAACGGGCTTAGTATATTAATGTTACGCCGCCAGAAAAGTAGCTTTAGTGTGAAAGAGATAGGGCGAGAGAGTGAGAGAGAGCAAGAAAGAGAAGAGACATAGAGAGATAGTGAGAGAGGTAGTTATAAAGGATGAGCGAGAGTGACAAAGACTCTACGAATCTCAAAAATCAGGCTTGTGCGTCCAAATGCGTAGGCGACGGAGAGACAGAATTGTAGACGGGCAGGCAGACAGGCAAAATGAGTGACACTGACATACATATAGCCCAGAGATCGGGGTCGCTGGAACGGAGGGCGGGTGGAAACATTATTGAGCATTCAAGGGGAGGGGGAGTACCGACACCTTTCAATAAAAGGACGGAAATTCGGGTCAGTGGGAAGAGAGTGAGAGAGGGAGAGAAAGAGGGGGGGGGAGCGAGATTACGATCGAATTCTAACCCCGTTGGCGAATTTCCAGCTCTCGAAATTGTGCGAAAGTGTGTCTCAAGGGACTGGGAACGTCGAAAATTCAACGTGTCGAAGTTCGCAGGGGTAGACCATCCCTTTAGCCTGTAAAGTCGAAATCATCCAGCTTCAAGTCAAATTTTAGCCTAATCGTTCGAAACCAGTTACGACATGAAAATACGCCTGTCTGGCTACTGTAGAAGTGCAAGTTGTGCAGAAATGTTCCGCGTAAAGTCACCACTGCCCCGTGTAGTCCAAACAGTCAATTCGTAGAGTGAATGAGAGTGGTCAGCGCCCAGGGGGATGTCCCCCCGGGGAGGATCGTACGGGAACGCTCCTGTTCTCACCATAAGAAGGGGCCAGAGAGTCAGAGAGAGAGAGAGAGAGAGAGAGGGAGGGAGAGAAAGAGAGAGAGCAAGAAAACCCGGCCGGTTTGTCTTGCCCTTTTTGCACTTCAGCGACTTTTCGAGATGGACAGGATGCGCTAAAGCGCTAAAAAGGGGCTAGCTAGGCTTGAATTTTTGGAAGCTGCTGGAATAGCTCTTTAAATTCTAGCTAGTTGTATGTCTTTCTCTTTCTCTCGCTCGCCCTCGCTATCTCTCTGGATCTATCGCTCTCAAACGCTGAAAAATCTATGAAATTCCAGAATTAAATGATTGCGACCCGTAAATAGGTAGTTGCCGTAGGTTTGCAAACATTAGGTAATATATTCCATTACAATCCGCACAAAATCCCACCCCAAACACGCACTGGGACGCGTTTAGACCCGCTTCAAGCGCACGAAAAGTGCGGCCAAACTCTAGCACTCATGCTCCCCCTCCATCTCCTTGTAGTTCGCACTCCATTCCATTCTGTGAATACAATTGTGCTGAAAAGGAGCACCAGGGTCGAGTGGTCGGGAGCTCGACCAAAATCCCCTCCCCTCTCGCGCGCTCGCCAATTTTGCGCGCTGCGCCCAGTTTTTCATCGACAGACGGGTCGACGCGCATCCGATTTTCGGCCGTGGTCAGCCACCCAAACGAGCACTACTATGGACGGACAGAAAGGACAACAAATTGGAGGTGAAATGTAACGAATTCTGAAGGTATTTTAGCAGAGAGGGAGAGACAGGGAGAGACAGAGACAGAGAGAGAGAGAGAGCGAGAGAGAGAGCGAGAGAACCCTGGTACCGTCAATTAGCAGATCAATTTTATCCGTTATTGAAATTGCTATTGGTCTACTGTCATGCTACCTTTAAAGAGGCTAAAAGCCCACAGATCCGCGCCTCCGTGGCTAGATCTAGACAACAACGATCGGTACTTAATGAGCCTCTCGGCTCCTTTTGATGGCGTGTATTCAAACGCGGTAAAATTACTTTTCAGCCATTTCATCGTGCTTTTAATCTGTTGTCCAGCTCCGTGAAAGGGACTGGAAAGCCCCAGAATCTACCCTTTTCCCAACTAGGTCACGACAGCTTCTTGTGATGCAAAATTCAATTAAATCCGGTTTTGAAGCATTTTTTAGTGGGGAAAACGCGTCATTTGACCTTCCATGAAGCTGTCGAGACTGAATCGGCGATAAGGGTCGAGGCTGTCTTCCTAGAATAATCCTGAATGACGGATGTATTTTAGGAAGGTAAGTGCAGATATTTGACGTTGTATACCCTTATTAGACGTGCCGGGTGCACTTATGGAAATGAAAGTATAGCCAGAGACGAAGGGGTAGTGACGCGGAAAAAGGAAGATTTTTGATGATTTGAAACTCCATACATCGTAAACGTTTAACAAGAAACGTTTAAAGGACCTGGGAAGTCTGAAATGATAAGGATTTTTTAGATTATCTGGTTTTTTTTGTGTATTGGCAACTAGCCTGGTCGATTCACGACACGTTTCCAACTTTTAAAAAGTTTCAAAATGTTCAAAACCGGTTTTTGAAATTGTATTTTTAGGAGTTCAAAATTAAAAAATTTCTTGGCTCTTTTACGTCCATTTAAAACTACTAGAAAGTCTAAAAATCTGGTAAACACGAAAATGTTCCAATTTTCAGGACGAAAATCAAATTCGGAAAAATGGGCCAGATGGCCCAACGAGTGCTCGATTATTGGACCAACAATGTTGTCGCTCGTATGCCAATCGTGTCGAAAAATTGACAATAGGAATATTAGGACTGGCTGGCACCAATGGGGGAACGACGTAGGCATCGGAATCAACATCAAAACATCCTTGTTCAGGTCGTGTGGGCGAAATTTGACAAAATTAATACGGAATGAATTCCTACCGTCAAAAAGCTTTGATTGTCTATTGCAAAAATGGTCTTTTTCGCCGTAAATTTACTTTTGTTATGTATTATAGTTACATATTGCTTTATTAAAATGCCCATTATATATTACAACCGAGATAAGATCTTTTCCCTTATGTACCCAAAATTAGGCGGTAATTCCAATTCCAATTAAACGGATTTAGTTTCAAATTTTTTAGCGGGAACCTGATGTATTCCAGTTTAAATTCGTGTAACTAATTTATTTGTAAAAATCATAGTTTAAGAAACAGTTTTGATGATGAGTAAGGGTTTCAGCTTTTCGAAACTAGTTTCCGGAATCCACAGAAAATCTGAAAAATGTTCCAACCCCCCGGGAAAACAAGACAAAAGAATCCGGGGGGTGGAAGTGGGCCAGAATCCTCACCAGTCAGAGCCGCGAAATACTGATAACGATTTATCAAAGGTATGGCATCTTCGAACGAAAAGCGTACAGAAGATGAGGGACGCATCAAAACCCGGAAAACGCCTTGCAAAGTCACAAGAAAAAATGGCTGTAAAACGCGGCAGACAAAATATCTTAGACGTTTCGCAAAATTCACGTGTACCGCATTTTTTAATAATTGGAGTTTAAAGAATTTATTAAGCCTTTTAAAGTTGAAAAACGGTGAAAAATTGGAAAATAAACGGTTCAAAAAATTCTAAAACCGAATTTCTGCGATGGAATGCGTTATTTTTTGTCCTTAATAATTTTAAGCTTTTTGTTAACGTTAAAAACTTTTCACCCCGAAATATACCTCAAAATTGTACGCGACACTCCACTTGCCACGCGCGCAAGTTCCAGGCCCGCCTGGCGAGAGGGATCGAAGAGCCTGGGAAACCCCCTATTGGTCCTAGAGAAAGAGGGAATATAGAGAGAGGGCGAGAGAGAGAGAGAGGAGAGAGAGAGAGAGAGAGAGAGAACCCACTGGCGCAAAAGGGACGAGATATAGCCCGAGCAGACAAATAGCCGAGCACAAATCGGGAATGCAGCGACGGGGAAGAGGAATCGATCTTGCACCTCTCTCTCTCTCTCTCTCTCTCTCTCTCTCTTCCTCTAGCTCTCTCTTTCTCTCGCTCTCTTGCCCCAGATACCGTATTCGTTGCTAGGAAGCCAGCATGCGGGGCGTCGTTTCGAAGGCGCCATTCTTGATGTTAAGATGGGTCCCGGAGGGGTTGTTTTCGTGGTGGGACATGGACGCCTGAAAAGTTGAGACTGGGGAGTGTAAAAAGGCGTGTAGCGTAGCGATGCTATGAGGAATACAGGCAACAAAAGGCAACTTCCAAATATTTCTCTCTCGCTCTCGCTCTCTTTTTTCTCTCTCCTCTCTCGCTCATAATTTTGTGATAGCGTGATTTTCCAGATTCTTAAATTTTTCGCTTGTAGCTTACCGTACCCAATGTGTCTAAATCCGTTACATTCCGGTTGGGTACGTGCTAAAAACCGTAGTCCACGCCTGGGTGTATTCACCCAGGTTTACGGGCAGCGATGTTCGACCGTCTGTATTTGTTGGGACCACTTGTCCTCCCGATTCTCGCCACCTGCACCGTGGATGGGGGATCGTCTTTTGTAGATTGCGCGGCGACACTTCAAATGTGACGGGTTTCGAAGTGACCACAAGTCAGACTGGGAAGAGATCGTCGGGAATACGGTGTTTCTCACGGAAGTTTCGGTGCAACCGGGAACGTTAAAAAGCAGTAAAAAGCTACCGGCAAATGTAAGCGAGAGACTGGAAGAGAAAGAGAGAGCGAGAGAGAGATAGAAAAAGAGAGATATAGAAAGAGAGTGAGAGAGAGAGAAAGTGGGAAATCTCGACATACCGTTTTCGGACGTTGCGGAGGCGTTTTAAATTGACATAAACTTTCCATTGGTTGCTTCCATTGTTTAAAGTTGGTTCGGAGTCTTCCGGATACTACAGTATCCCGCCTTATTTCTCTCTTTTTTAGCGAAATTTTTCCCGCCTTGACGGTTCAATTTTCACATTTGAGGTTTTTGTAACCCGGTTTTTTTTGCGAAATTTAATGTTTTTAGAATGGCGTATGCTGCAAAATCTCGTGAATTCAGTACAATCCGCCAGCTTTGCCCAACTTTTTTGTTAACAATTTATTCAACGGAGTGACGTTGCATCTGATCACAACAGCCATCGCAAACGCATCCATCGTTTCCGCAGTGTCAGTTTCCGGCGTAATTTCGGAAACTCCTAGATTTGTCTCTTTATCAAGGTCAGTCAAATTTCCTAATGTTGTTTCTTTGCTCACCACTTTAATCGTCTTTTCGTATTCCTCTTCGCGTCTCGATTTCCAGCTAAAAATCCTACTGGCTAGCTTTTTGGCTGGTCAAACTAACCGTTTCAACTCCTTCCTTTTGGCTGCCACCTGCTCATGGCTTGGGGAGAAGTTGACGCTAAATTCTTTTTATTTATATTTATTTATCCTACAGAATTTCTGCTAGCCTTCCCAGCCAAAAAATAAAACATACATTGGACAGTTCAATTCGTCGACCACTCGTTTCCGGAATTCCTCGGTGAAAATCTGAGCCTCCAGCTCTTCATGGGACGACCAAAATTTTAAGGCCACCAGGCTTTCCGTCTAGACTTAATTTTAGAAATTTCGACAGCTTTCAAACCTTTTGAAAAAGACGATAGAAGCTCTCCTGCGCATCAGCCAGCTCGACGCTGTAGATGTCGAAGAATTCGAGGTTTTTCAGCTGGAAGTCAAACAATAAAAATTCAGCGTGGATAGATATGTGTCGTAATCGGTTTAAAAGAAAGGACTAACCGATGTTGCCATGAAATTGTGTTGAACAAAGCATGGTTAAAGTACCCCACCTTCGATAGATCAAGCGCCAAAATCCCCTCCATGACGTCGTCGTTCAAAATGAGGCGCTTTACGGCCAAATGATCGACGAGAAGCGTAGGGCTAAAACGAGAGGGTAATTTCGGCAATATACTGTATCGATAAACCTAAAATTAGGGTTTGTCTTGTTTTTTTTTAAACTCAAGATTACAACCTACGGCACAGCAAGTCTAAAACGCTAGTTTTGGTGGTAAAAAAGCAACAAAACCCGCGTCAAAACCATACGTCAACAGCCCTCCCTCGAAAAAGCGCACAAAATTGTTGGTGGTGAGCCGTTGAGTGTGCTTCTTGGTGAATGGACTGTCTAAAATTGGCCATTTAGACCGTAATCCAGTATCTTACCGTAGACATAGCATTGGTAGTCGTTCAGCGGAAAGGCTCCATGCTCCCAATCACCCTAAAGTTTAGGCTCAAAATTGTTGGAATTTGGAACTCTTGGAATTTTTTCGTGTCTCTCTCTCTCTGTCTCTCGCTATCTCTCTCTCTCTCTCTCTCTCTCTCTCTCTCTCTCTCTCTCTGTCTCTCTTTCGCTCTTTCGCATTCTCGCTCTCTGACTGTCTCGCTCAGAATTTTTTGATGGTTACCGTAATCTGTCCGGCGACCGGAATTTGTAGCTCTTTCAAGTAGAACGAGCACAGCCTTGCTAGACGACGATTAGCCTGGCCGATTTTGGAGATTTGCTAAAAAATCCAGATTTTAGCATTTTCCAAGTTTTCCTACGCGATACTCCTCGAAACGGAGATGCCGTTTGCGAACCAGTTTCCTTGAATTCTCCAGGAAGCCACTGGGGTAGACTGAAAAATACAAGATCCCAGGCTGCTTATAGGTCTGCACATTTTTCCCCAAAGATTTTTGCTAGCATGCCCTTCAGAATCTCCTTTCATCTTTTTACTTCTCATATATTACTTTTCTCTCTTTATTAAAAAGCTGGAAGATGACGCTGAGCCAATTTCCCAAAGATTCTTCGCTATTCTGCCAATTCGCCTAAAATTTCGAGTGATCAGACGGTTCTATCTGTTGTAAAGTGTCCTCCCTATAAAGTTCTGACCTGCTTCAAACGCTCCTTTGTTTGCCATAATATTGTTCAGCACCACCACCAGCACCTCATTCGGGCAGTCCAACAGATTTGGCGTGACTACGCTGAAGGACTTTGTCATTCCATGTGATTAAAAATTAAAATAGCAATGAAAAAAATTACGTTTCCCCATCTTCCATCTCTTCATCGCTTCTGTCAACCTCCGGAATTTCATCGGCCCCGTCCAGCGCTTTTTTCGCAGCCTTTCTTCGTTTTCGATTTTCCTAAAAAAATTTGGCCTAGGTTACGGTAGAAAGAAACGGCCATTTGTTACGATTTTAATGCTCTAATTACGTCTAAAAATAGCCAAAAATCATTAATTGGATTTTACCTTCTTCTTCAGCTTCCTTGCCACCGTCACCTTCCGCTTCTTCGGCTCCATCATCTCGGCAATTTGGGAGGCGAACCTCTTGGTCACCTGCAGATTTAAAGGGCTTGCGAAGACAACACTAGGCCGAACTAACCGACTTATAGCCATTCCTGAAGCGTTGCGCACTTTGGCCGCAAGGATGGTTGTAGGTTTGGCGCCAGCAGGAATACGGATAGATGCCACCGTCGTACATCCCGGTTTTCGGTCGTCTATAAAGGCTTTAAGCAACTTCTAATGTTTGATTGGCTACGTAGGTATCTCTTACTGCAAATATCCAATTTCGGTAGAATTAGTGTTTTTCGACATAAATGCAAAAAATTTTTGGATTTTTTTCGTTTACACAGGAGCGCTGGGACGAAGGTTTGAAGCCGCGCAGCGGTTTTTCAACCAGGTTCTATGTTCAAAAGCAATTGAATCGATCGATAAAACCAGAAACCGTAAGCAAAAGTGACGACCCGGGGATGGGGCTGACATTTCCAATGCCTCGGAGGGGCGAGGTGAGGGTGAAATGGCAGATCGAGGGAATCGTGGGATGGGGAGGGGGCAAACAGCAACATTAGCGGCAAAGTGGCTGACGGTCGGGTTCGGTTGACATATGGAGGGGCACAAATATGAATAACGACCCAGTGGCCACCGTAATTTATTGCCGTAATTTAGGAACACGGGAGCGAGGAAATAAGGATTAGTTTCCGTTAATTAAATAGTTTTTTTAAGCCAACAACCGTCTCAAGAAGTTGAAAAAGTAGTAGTAGAAAAATTATTTTTTGAGCAGGCGGTGTAGGGCCGAAGTAATGAAATTTCGGCAATTTCCAAAGCATTTACACTGTTTTTATTAAACAGCAAACATAAATACATAAAAAACCCTTCTTAAAAAATTTTAAAACTTTAGAAAACACTAACTTTTTTGCACCAATGACCAATGCACCACCATGAAAAATGACCAAATTTGGTCATTTTAACTTGGTCAGAAACTTTAAATTTATAAGATGTTCTAATAAAGTTTATATTGTTTTAATGCTCCGCAACTACGAAAACATGATTAAACTATAATTTATATTACTAGCATGCGGGGATAGGCCCAATTAAAAAAACATTTGCCTTACTCCCCCGCTAAAAATTTGCTCCCCCGCTAACACGTAAGCACCAATTTTGGTATTTTCAGCCCGACAAAAGGTCTGTAACGTACAATTATTTCTAACTTTCTCATAAAAATTGAGAATCGGCCAGGAGTCTCCAATAATTTAAACCATCGCCTCTTTCTTTTTCCCAACATTGCCCGTTTCCCAAAAGGTTTCTGCTCGCTCCCCTCACAAGGGCTGGCCGTTAGGTGCTTTTGAACTTTTTTTCTATGTGAAATAACTCATTCGATAGGGCTTGAAATAATAAATAAAACCCAGCTTTCAAACCGGTTGATCGACTAGGGTCTACGAGAAAAGTCTACCAAACGTGCTGTTCTCGGGGAAGGGGCCGGGGTACAAAATGCGCAAAAATGGGCCCTTTCAGACCAAATCTTCTCCCGGACCGTTATACATAGTTCAGCATCTTTTTCAAGGTGGGATTTTTTCAGTGTTCCAAGCTCTATCTAATGAGCTCACATCGCCAAAGTCCAAAAGCGCCTAAAAACCCACTACTTGCCAGCGGTGCTTTTGTCAACCCCCATCCGTCACTTCAGAAGCCGCCCCATTTCCGGCTCGTTCTCACATTTTATCACGCCGGCCATGACTCACCGGGCGATTCGGCACACCCTGAAGGCGTTCCAGATCAATACGGCGCCACCCGCCGGCTTTTGTTTGTTTTTCCTTACGTCCAGCCGGACAGCGGGACACCATCGCGCACCAATACCACGAGGTCCAACACAAATTCTCGCTACTTGAAGCATGTATCTAGCTGCTTTTTCTGTATTCTTTGTTATTTATTATACTCAAGTTAATGCGGAAAGAGCGTTGCGGAGTAGAAGGTTCGTATAATCACTAATATCGCCATTTACATCTATTTTAATGTTAAAAATTGAGCTATAGACTCAAAATTTATGCTACAACCTCGAAAAAATCTATTTATTTTGCTGTCCCGTCCTAAAAAGTTGAAATTACATTCTAAAAGATCTACGACAACAAAAAAAAAACCATTATACCATTGTTTTACCAGGTTTTTCATAAAAAGTCAGCGTAAAACGTCGAAAACTGATCACAATCTAATAACGTAACGTTCTAGGCAATACCCCATGACGCATTGGCCTCCTTCTAATGCCACCAGAACTAGGTAACCTCAAAATAAACTTTAGAAACTTTTAAATTTATTAGAAGCCTTTCAAATACCTACGCCACCGACGGAGATCCGGCTGTCAATGATGATATTTACATTTTATTAACCCGTACGATCACACAGGGATTCACAACGTGGAAAATTAAGGTAACTACGATTTTGCGGAAAAGATGTCCGCCATAAAAACTTTGAAAAGCTTTCAAACAAGCAAATTTAGCAATTCAACGACCGGATTTGGCTCGACAGGTATAGACGAAGCTTCTGGTTTGGCAGTCGCTACTATCGATTGGTAAGGAAAAATATAAAAAGCTATAGTGAGAAACTAACATCCTGGGTTCTTTCGCATTATCGGGGGGCTTTTTCCCAGCAAATATAATTCCGGAAATATCTCGTAACGTAATAGTAAGTGTTTTAATGTTTTTAGTAAAATTCACGTTATTTGAAGTGGAAAAAATATAATAAAGAAAGTTAGGTGACGTTTATCTCGAAAATCGGCCATTTTTGGTCGAATAATCGCTATTTTTGTTTTTTATCAAAATTTGTAGCGCTTTTAAGTTTAGGAATAGTAAAAAAAGTTCATAATTCTTGCGCTATGTATATAAAAAATTACATACTTCAAAAAAAATCCCCCTCCCCCGATAATGCGAAAGCTCCAAGCATCTTGATTACCATCGCTTTTTTAGGACAATCGTTACTGGCTCGAAACCCGAGATACTTGCGCCTATTCTTTGGATGACTATGAAAAATCGCAGCTTCACTACGAGGAGCCCAACCCGGGCCATGCGAACACGCAAATACACGAGATTTTCTTCCAGTTAGACCCTAAATTTTACCAACGCCAAAAAATTTAGATGCCAAAGATACGTAGACTACTGCTGTGGGTTGAGATGTTGTCGAAACGAGGATCTTTTCAGGAAACCTCAAAAACAAAGGTTAAACTCACCTTTATATAAAAAAAGCTAATTTGAGGCATATGGAGTATCCGTGGTCATGGCAATCGGCGCAGTCACAATTTGGAGCCATAACCTTGTTATTACCCTTCTTATTATATGCAATAATTTGATAAATAATCAAAATTTCGGCCTGAAACAAGTCAATGAAGGCTTTTTTGGCTATAAGGAAGGCTGGAAACAAGAATGACAAGAAGCTTGTACTTTACAGGTTTCAAAAGGCAACAAAAATCAGAACGCGAATTTGAAAAGTACGAAGCCAAAGACATGACGGTTGAGGCACTCGCTAAACGGTGCCCCTACCGTAACATGACCGCTTCGTGGTGGGACCACAAGGCGGAGCGTTACGGAATTTTGGGAGCTGAAGTTTCGGTTTTCCCCTCATAGCCTGGAAAAAATTGTCAGGATTTTCGACGTTCCGTATCCTTGTGCTGAATGTTAGCGCTTTGGTTTAGACCTGGGGGCGTTAGGATTTCGTTTTAGCGGGCCCCCTTTAATCGATGATCTTCCGCCTCGGCTTTTCCACCTGACTCTTGGTAGTTTGGCGCGCTAAGCACGATTTTTTTGCCTAAGATCAACCTGGTTTCGAGCTCAGCACGTCAAACGACTCTATGATTGGTTTAAAACGGTGGAAAATCGAAAAGTCGGTCCGCTAAACCGAGATAACGCCGCCATAGGATTTGGTATTTTTCAACTACCATGACAAATAGCTTCTTTTCCGACACTATTCTGTGGCTTCTTCCTTTTCCTTCTTTCCGAACAAACTCAACGACCTCTCAAGCTCTAACGGCTCGTCGTTTCCCATTTTTTCGAGGCGGTGTTTTGTTCTGTCTCCCTTTTTTCATTCTCACATCCAAAATCGCTACTTTCAGCATTCAAGCTTGAAGACGCCAGGGAACGCCATGACCAGCCAGGCGCCCGACACCGTTACGGGCATGAAGGGGCAGCTCAGCCAATCGAGCAAGCAACGCGGAGATGCGGTAACTCGCATTCTTGAAGTTTTTATCTTTCTTTTAGGAAATTCGACTGAGGAGCGCTTCAACGAAACTCCTTGCCGAGGCCAAGGACACCGAAACCCCAAAGAGCGCCGAGCTCCTGCACGAAATGGAGCTGCGAGAAGGGCTGGATCAGAAAATGGCCAGGTATTTGTAACTTTGTAAATAAATGCGCATTTGTTCACTTTCAGCCTCGCTAGCGTCCAATTCATGCAGGAGAAATTGCAACTGCATCAGAAGCCCGCCGAAAAAGCCACACTATTCCGTAAGCATTCTATTAGCCACAGGCAATAGTTTTGTTTAGTTCCACAGCTTGCCGACAGCCAGAAGAAGAACGCGGAAGAGATCGAGAAGCAGTACGAGCGCGCCAACCAGGCGGTGAACGATCTTACGCAGGATAGGGCGCTGATCGAGAAGCAAGTGCAGGTGAAAGGTATAAAAAGTGCCTTTGACTTCATTATACCGTTTTTGTTTAGAAAATCAATTGAAGAAAGTGGCCAGCGAAATGCACTCGTCCCTGTCGGCCCTCGTGGAAAAGACCACGGCCCGCATCCAAGCTTTCACCGAGACTTGGCCCGACAAACTGGTATTCCCTTTTTAACCTTTTAAATCAAAGAATTTCTGTAGCAACAACTCGATGCCGTCATGGCCCAGAAAGAAGAGCAAGTGGCCGAACTGGACCGGGCGATCGCCGGGCGGATGGCCGAGCGCGACACCATCCAGGCCGGCCTCCGCGATTGCCAGGAGGCCATCGACACGCAAGAAGGCACCGTCGTCCTGTTGCAAGAGAGCATTATCGAGTTGGAGGTACGCTTTTTAGCTTTTTTACAATTTTTTCCTAGGATATCGTCGCCAACCAAGACAAGGAGCTGGCGGCAGCCGAACAGCTGCTGCAAGAGAAGCTGCAACGCCGCGCGGAACTCGAGGCGCAGAAGCGCGACATCCAGCAAGCCATCGCCGACGGGCAGATCGCCCTCAAGGAGAAGGACGCTGAGGTATACTAATTTATTTAGCTTATTGTTGTTTTTTAGTATGAGGCAAAACTGGCCGAGAAGACTGCCAAGGAGGAGGAGCTGAACGCCAAGCTGGCTGAAATCAGCGCGATGCGAACCGAGGCCGTAAAAGCTGTCAAGGCCGCCAAGGTATTCGTTTTTGCCTGGTTTTACTACTTCTTTAGAACGAGGTCGACGAGGTTCGCCAGAATGTCGAGGCGCAGCTGCTGAAGTTGGACGAGGAGAAAGAGGCGGTGATGGCCGAGAACGACCCGATGAAGCTCGACGCTTTCGAGGAATGGAATCAATACGACGTCGAGACCCTGCAGAAGATGCTTGAAGGTTGATTTATAGCTTGGATAACATTCCTTCTGTTTTAGAAATTCAAGCGTCACGTGAAGCCGCCGAGAAGGAACACCAGGCAAAAGAGGCTGAGCACCAACAGATGCGCGAAGAGAAGAAGCAGCTGCTTGAAAAGGTTATCGCATCAACAGTTCTAATAGCGTTATTTTAGCAATCAATGCGCCAGCAAGAACAAAACGCGATCGACGCCCGCTGCACCGACCAGAAAGACCTGCTGGCGAAGGAGCTGGAAGAGGAGCGGCGGCTGCTCGAAGATTGTCAGCAGCAGAATACGAAGGTAAACTAATTCATCAATAATCACATCTGATTTAGAAAACCGCCGACCTCAGACACGCGCAGGATCGGCTTGACCAGAAGAAGAAGGATCTGGCGGTGAAGATTGCTAAGGCAGCGCAAGAACAAGATGAGCTGAACGAGAAGGTGAACCGGGTTTTATACGGCTATAACCTTTTATTTCTAGATCCGTCTTGCCGGCGCCGAAGGCCAACCGCTGCAAGATCTGGCCGATGCGACGCGCATGGTGGATATGGTCAGTTTTTTTGGGTTAAATTTTTAGAAATGCGTTTTTTTAGGAAAACGAGGTGCCGAATCAATGGACACCGTCCCAGCAAAGCATGGCGGTGCCCGTGGAACCCGTGGCCCCTAAGCGACAAACCAACCGCTCGGCCGCCAGTCAGCACAACAAGTCGCAGAAGTCGGTCGCCCGCGACTCTGAGTCTGAAAACGAGAGTAATTTGCCATTTGTTAGGTTTAATAAACACTTTTTAGACGAGGTCCAGCACGCCCCGAAAACGCTCCCCATCGGATTCCTCAACAACGATGGCATGGTATATTTCATTTTAAACGTTTACCCTGCTTTTAGAAACTTACGCAGCCAGAACCGCAGTTTTACGATCCGCTGGAGGAGGTAAGAGTCGTTTATATTCTTTTATGCCTTGTTTAGACGATGGAGACTAATTACGATGCGACGGTTGACGACCCGTTCGAGACGACCGACGACTCGATGCGCATTGACGGGCGCGTGCCGAAGAACATCTTCTTGAACACGGTGCCGACGGTCGACTCGCGCAACACCAAGACTGGCCCCAAACCCTCGACTTCGGAGGAGCCCGAGAATTCGGCTGAGGTAAGGAATGCGCGCTTGAGTTTTGGCGGGGTGTGCTAGGCGAACTAACGCGCGAAAGAATCAAATTCGGCCTCTGTTCGATCAATCCGGAAAACTTTGAAAACAGCAAAAAATTGGGGGTTGTTTGTGGTAAAAACGTCGGCATCGATTTTTATGCGGTTTCGCCATCGTAACTACTAAAATATTTTTTCGTTTTGGATTATTAGCATCCGCGTAGCGCTTGCCTGGTTCAACCGTTGAAAAATTAGAACTTTTTTGTTTTACGTTTTTTAAATTCTGTTTTTAGGTTGACGCCGCGTCGAACCAGGTGATCGCCCCGAATTGGCCGTCCGCCATCAACGACACGTTGGAGACCGAGGATCCCGATGAGGAGATTGAAGACATTTTCGCGTAAATCCCCCTCTCCCCGCCCCCAAACGTTTACATCTGTGATTTTTTAAGTTCTAGGACCCGATAGTACACCCTTCATCTTGATCAAACCCCCCAAACACGTTGTAATCTAACTAACCCCGCTCTACCCCCGATCCCTGCTGCTCACTCATTTCGTTGTCTTTTGTTGTGCGAATAAAACATCATTTTGTAAAACTAATCCAGAAATTTGCGTAGTATTCGAGGACAAGTAGCTATTTTCAACTGTTTCGCCATTTTCTGGTCCCTAACCGCTTATCACACGCATTCCGGGTTAGAAGTTAGCGAGAGAGTGTCCGCTTTGCGTAGAGGGCCAGAGAAAGGGGTCCCGCCGCGAAACCCCACTCCCCACGGTCATTGGTCTTCGGTTGAATGCCAGGGACAGAGACTAGGGGTGCTCTTTCCTCTCGACGACCATTTCCTGACAGCCGTATTGGGGTGGAGCATAATTTTCGATTGTATATCGTCAAAATCGTCTAGTTCTTATAACTTCAGCAGTTTTTACGCTTGTTTCCACTTTGGCCCTCTTTTCGACATTGACTTCTGAAGTTCAGGAATCTGATTTTGACGTTTTGCTGGCTTAATTTCACATAGATGGGCTACTCCCGGGATTCTATGGCGGTATTAACATCCTCGTCGTTATGAGTCTTACCTTTTTGCCTAAATTGTCTCAATTTGTAATCACAGCCAAGAGACATCTCGAATTTTGGACCTTTTTGATCTTTGGTTTTCGGTCTACAACGTAAAAAGTTAGGTTTAAAACAGTTCCGCAATTGCCATTTTCTCAACTTATCCCGTTATCGATTGACTATTTGATCTCTGGTACAACTCGCTTCCGATATTTTGACCTAGCTTCACACCCCATTTCCAGATGCCCTCGAACGACGATGAAGCGGTGCTGGAAGATGTTCGCGCCGTGCTCGAGAAGCTGATCTGGACGGTCAGCGCCGAGCAGATCGTCGACCACCATGCAGCTCAAGACCGCGCGGCCCCCTCCACGTCAACGTACCCACAAGCTGACGTCGACATGGAGGTTCAGGATGTCAAGTTCAGGTATATTAATCTTATCAGCTTCTCTAGATTCATTTTTTTCAGAGATCTCGACTCTGACTACGACTCTGATTTCTCTCTCACCGCTGCCAACTCGGACGAAGAATTCGAAAAGCTCACCTCCGTGCCCCTACTCCAGATGCAGCGCCTCCATATGCAAGAATACGGAAAAACCGAGAAAAAGAAGAAGAGCCAACGCGTCCAGAACGAGTACGAATACGCCAAGCTCGACCCGATCGATATCCCGCAAATCCGGCTGGAGCCCGACTGCGAGTTGAAACTGTTGGGCAAAGTGCTGCAGAACATGCACTGTCTGGTGTCCATTCAATGCGAGGCATTCGTGGTGCTCGACTTTGACTGCTACCTTTTCGATGAACAGCGCAACGTCTTTGGCCAGGTCTACGACGTCGTCGGAAATACCCGGACCCCGATCTATGTAGTCCGCTTCAACACAGAGGCTGAAGCCGCGGCTGTGCCGGCCGGGAAACCGATCTACTACGCGCCGGAGGGTTCCGTCGCCAAGGTGCTGCTGCTGGAACAGCTTATGCAGCTGAAAGTGGCTGACCCGAATGCTGACGCTGACGCTGAACCCGACTTTTCGGACGACGAGCAGGAAAAGGCGTACTACAACAAGGACCAGCGCCACCAGCGGAAGCGGACAAGGGATGAGCCGAATCGGCATCAGCAACCGCAAAGACAGGGCAGCTGCTGGCCACCGTCCGGGCAATATGTAAATCAGAATCGGCGTGGTGGACGCGGACGAGGCGGCGGACGCGGGCGGGGTAATCAAAATGGACCCCGGTATGGAGGGCAGCAATACAACCAATACGCGCCCGCTGGAAATGCCGATGGATATTGGCCAATGTACCAGCAACACCCCACCGGATACCCGCCCTATCATCATCAGGGACAATAGATTTATCGCAATTGTTTAGCAGTTTTAGCTCGTTCGCTATGTTCGTTTCTTGTTGAGCCCCTCGAGAAAAAAAGTCGAGTTGTTGGCTTCCTTCTTATCGTTCTTCAAGTGAAAATTTCTGTTAGTGTTGATTTTGACGCCTCGCATATTTTCATCCAGCTTTACCCACCTCAAATTGCATTTTAACCACACCAACTTGTTGATCTTCTGATTGTTGCTGAGTGTTCTCGTTATTTCTCGTCTTTTCGTGACGAGACGGCAGAATATAAACTCATATTTCCAGGCGCGTTTCCCCGGCCTCATCTTGCACTTGGAAATGGCGCCCACGGCCCGTGATCATGGAGAAAAGGAGAGCACCTACGGATTCGTGTTCGGTGTCTCCGGCCCTGGTGAGTTTTGTGGATTCCTGAAAATAATATTGGTTTCTAGTCGTAACTGCCGAGAAGATGGCCGGATCGGCTATGTACGAGCTGGTGCGTGTCGGGCACGGCGAGCTGGTCGGAGAGATCATCCGTCTCGAGGGTGACTATGCCACCATCCAAGTATACGAGGAGACTTGTGAGTTTTAAAGTTTACAGCCGGCTAGATTGTGTTCGTTTTGAAAAAAAATCGAAAAAACGAATTCTGCGCTTTTTGCCAGTCTAAAACGTTCAAAAATTTCGCCTTTTTAGCCGCTGTCACCATCGGAGATCCCGTGCTCCGTACCGGCAAGCCGCTCTCCGTCGAGCTGGGCCCCGGCATTATGGGCTCCATCTTTGACGGTATCCAGCGTCCCCTGAAGGACATTGCCGACCTCACCCAGTCCATCTACATCCCCAAGGTATATTTGGCTGAGAAAACAGTTTTTTTTATACGGTTAAAGTGTTTTTGAAAGTAATCTCTCGCAAAGTAATTTGAAAGAAAAAGGATTTTTTGCAAACAGATTTTTCGAAAAATTGGCCCTCTGAGTCAAAAAAATTTAGACTGCAAATGTGGAGACCGTGAAATTAGATTTAGCTAAAATTTCGCTTTAGGGAGTCAACACCAACGCCCTGTCGCGCGATGCTCGTTGGGACTTTGACGCCAGCAAGAAGATGCACGTCGGCGCCCACGTCTCTGGAGGTTCGTGAAGATTTTCGATTTTTTGCTTGAAACTTTAGGCCACGTTTTTGAGCTAAATCCTCCGATTTTCAGGAGACATCATCGGAACCGTCAACGAAAATCTGCTCATCAAGCACAAGATCATGCTGCCCCCCACCGCATGTGGAACCGTCACGTTTGCCGCCCCGTCTGGCCAGTACACCGTTACCGACGTGCTGCTCGAGATCGAGTTCTCCGGCGAGAAGCAGCGATTCACTATGCTCCAGGTATACAAATTTTATTCTACGAAATTTACGTATTTTTCTAGATCTGGCCTGTGCGTAGCCCTCGCCCGGTCACCGAGAAGTTGGCCGCCAACAACCCGCTGCTCTGCGGACAGCGTGTGCTCGACGCCCTGTTCCCCTGTGTCCAGGGTACGGTATTTCCGCATTTTCGCTTGTGGTTGAGCTACAAAATTTCGCCAAAATATCGATCCAAACTATCGTTTTCAGGAGGAACCACCGCCATCCCCGGCGCCTTCGGTTGCGGCAAGACTGTGATCTCGCAGTCGCTGTCCAAGTACTCCAACTCCGACGCCATCATCTACGTCGGGTGCGGCGAGCGTGGAAACGAAATGTCTGAAGTGAGCGGTTTTTCGTTTCATTTTTGTCACTTTCAAAAGCTTTATCTAATCTTTCTGTTTCTAGGTACTTCGTGATTTCCCCGAACTGACCATGGAGGTCGAAGGTGTCACCACATCTATCATGAAGCGTACCGCCCTTGTCGCGAACACATCGAACATGCCTGTGGCCGCTCGTGAAGCCTCCATCTACACTGGTATTACCCTCGCCGAGTACTTCCGGTTGGTTTTTCGCCTATTTTATTTTCAACTATCAGATTAATTGATTTTACGAATTTTCTATATCATGACTTTTTTAGTGACATGGGTCTGAACGTGGCCATGATGGCCGACTCGACGTCTCGATGGGCCGAGGCGCTTCGTGAGATCTCCGGTCGTCTCGGAGAAATGCCTGCCGATTCCGGATACCCCGCCTACCTGGCCGCCCGTCTCGCCTCCTTCTACGAGCGTGCCGGCAAGGTCCGCTGCTTGGGAAGCCCCGAACGTGATGGATCCGTCACCATTGTCGGAGCGTGAGTTTTTGGAAAGAGCTGCAGCTGTTTAGTACATCCAGAGGAGAACAATTTACTAAAAAAATAGAGAGATCACCATCAAATAGCGTCGATTTCGAAATTCTTACCCGTTTTGAAGTGGTTTTCCGCTTAAAATAAAGCTAAATTTTACGAAAACTTCGAATACGATATCGTATACGTTACTAAACTGTCTGGACTGGCAGTAGAAAAACTCGGGTTTTCTGCTCCACTCTGGAAATACTAAAGAACTAGCTATACCTTTGCATCAAATTTCCGATTATTTTCTAAATCTCAATTTTTAGCGTATCCCCGCCCGGTGGTGACTTCGCCGATCCCGTCACGGCCGCCACCCTTGGTATTGTACAGGTTGGCATTTTATTTCTTGCTAAAATTTTGCTTATTTTCAGGTGTTCTGGGGTTTGGACAAGAAGCTCGCCCAGCGTAAGCACTTCCCCTCCATCAACTGGCTCATCTCCTACAGGTATACACTACCGTCTTGGCTTGGTTGTGTGTGTAGACTAGGGGTTATCTTGCCATCTTTTATCTTTGTTCGCCAAGAAGGGAAAGTGGGGGGACTGGCCCGTGAGAGAGATCCAAGGGGGAGGGGGAGCAGTGAGATAAGATTTTTGACAGAAACGTTTTGGGTTTTTTTGACAGGATTGATCACCGGATATGTATGAAACAAGGGTGGATAAAGAGAATAACGAAAAAATTAGAAATTTTGGTTTAGAAATGGCTGAATTCCTGGGCTTGGGGGTCGTCGGCGTAGGGGATGTGCTGGGGTGGGGATTGGGTATTTTCTGGTAGTGCGTATTCGTGTGCTGGGCGGCGGCGTCGGGTGCCCTTGATGAGGTTGGCGATGGCGGACAGGCACAAGCACTGAAAAATGTAGTTTTTTTGCTATTTTTTAAACTCTGAAATCATTCCAAAGTTTACAAAATTTCTAAGCTTTGAAATTGAAAAATTTCGTCTATAAAACGCGGTTAAACTCACCCCTGATGAATCGTTGATGTAGCAGATGTGATTATAAAAGGCGACATCCTGCACCACGCAGAAAAAGCCGGCAATTGCCATTAGGAATAGAACTGCGATAGTCCCAAAAACGACTATAAGCGTTTTTGTAGTCAAGTGACGATTTAGCGCGATCTGGGTTGTATATGTTTTAATAAGTTTCGGAGAATTTTACCTGTAGATAGATTAGTATTCCGACGAAACATGCGTGCACGATTAGGTAGAGAATCGCAATGAGGGTTACGGTCATGTTTGCGACTACCAAATCCGGGACTAAAAGAATTTTAATTGAATAAAATTGTAATTCAATTTTTTCGGTATTTTTAATTTCGAGCAATTTCGCTGAATTTTTACAATTTTACGATGTCTAAAATGGCTGATTTACGGTAATTTTGAATGTCTTGGCTAGCTTTAATGGGGGGATAATATAACTAGCTTACTTTCTGTTTTGATAGCTACCACCAAACATAGCAGCGATAGGAACCAAACTGCGCACATAGCCAGGTATACGAGCGTCGAAATTCTGATCAGCTCAAGAAAATCGATCTCGGCGTCCTAGAAAGTTTTTTGGCGCTTTATTTCAATTTTTTACCACCACCCATCCAATATACAGCGACGTATTCGGCATCTGCTCGTCTTGATCATCAAAACTGAGCGTCGAATTGTCATCATAGTCGAGGAGAGCAGTCAGAGTTGCGTTTTCCGCTTCTACTGTCTCGACTTCAACTTTCTCGGCCCGTTTTGTCCTCGGTTTCGCGGTGGCAAAATCGTCGATCGGGGGGCCAAAATTTGGCAACGGGGTGGTGGAATTCGTCTCAATTTCATCTACCACTCCATCCAGTAGCGCGGCCACTCCGCTGTCGTCAATAGTAGTTTGCGTCGGCTCGAGCGTCTGAATTAGATTTTCGGCGCGGTCCAATTGGGGGGTTGCACGGTAACTTGCCCAAGTCCCTGGGGGTTTTGCTATTTTAGCGGTTCGCCAGGTGAACGGGGCTTATCGGGGGGATACTGGACGGTTAGCCTGGGATGTTAGTTTTGACTTGTTTATCTGGTTTGTAAGTATCTAGTTTGCTAAGAAATTATAAACATTTTTACCAAACATTTTGAACATTTTTATAAGTTTTATATTCTTTTTCTATCTAAAAACTGCGTGTAGTTCTTTACAAAAGGTCTATATTTCGTTATAGAGCCATACTAAAGTACGGGGAAAAATTAATCACCCGCACTAGCAGGTCAGCACCGCTTCTCGCATTCGTAAAAACATAATTCCTCGGGCCCAGAATTAGCTTGTTTTCACGAGAAAATTATTTTTCGCCGGGCAGCCCCCGCTTTTTCGATATAGGGATTTTGCTTGGAATTAGGTGTCTTGTTGATATTTTCGCGAGCCGGCAAAAGTTCTCACGATTCCCCGGACAACACCTCACCTCCACCCCCAAACACGATTGGGTATGCAGGCAGTGCCTAACAGCACAAACTGCCTAATTGGGCGCCTCTAGGCTAGGAGAGCAGACCGGGCTGGCAGATCGGCTAATACCCTCCGGGGCATGTAAACTGGCCATTCCCGTAACGCATAAACAATAGCAAAATATGGCAATAAGAAAAGATTTTAAGGGTTTGAACCTAGGTTTGTAGCGTAATTTGAAATTTAAAAAGCTTCGTAGACTCAGTTAAGACTATTTAATAAAGTGATTTTTGCTGAGAATCTACGGCCGTTAAAAAGCTCTGGCCCTGACTTGCTCGTCCCTTTAAAACTTGACCTTTAAACTAAAATTAAAACTTTTAAAAGCCATCCCTTTAATCTCATCAAAGACCCACCGCAAAACCCGTCATCATTGTCGTGGCGGCCATCAGCCGTCGCGAATCATTAGGGGATATAATTGGCTCGAGAATCGTCCGGTTCTCATTCCAGCCCATGTACTCGTAGCTAAAAATCGGGATTTTTTGACTCGATTAAAATCCCTTACCCTCCCACATGATAAAAGAAGAAGATTGTCGTCAACGCCGAGGCGACCAGAATCACAAATTGCACGGATAGGGAGACGATTCCACTAGTTTTCGCGGGGATACAGCACGTTGGGTTGGATGTTTGGAGTGGGTGACGACCGCCTAAGTTTATTAGAATTTAATCAGTTAACTTGGAGCTTTTGATTTGGACATAACCTTTTTTATCCCCCATTTTTTCGCATAGATCTGCTACTTTTTTGGTCGCCCTTTACCCACAGCGCGACCCGCCTAATAAATCACGCGCGACCCTCAAGTGGGTTTTTTGCCTTCCGGCGGATTGATCGTGTCACCCCCGGGGGGCTTTGGGGGCGAGGCCACTTTTTGGGGGCAAATTTTGGGCCCGGGAGAAGCCTTATCTGGGAGCGGCTGACTAGGCGAATTTGGGTAGCGCAATATTGCGCATTTTTTGAATAGGAGACTATGGTTTCGAAAAAAAACATCAAAAAATGAACCCCCGAAAAATACTCTAGAAAATTAGCTTTTTTCTATGCAAATGGCTTCGGGATGCGGCCCATACGTCGAAAATTAAAATGGGGATTTCCTGTTTTCTGAAAACACTTACTTGCTGAAGCCGGCAGCCCAGTGTGGTTGCGCTGATGCCCCACGGCGTCCATTCCCGGCGGCGAGTCCGAGATAAACGGATACAATTGGTATTTGTGAAAGAAAAACGACGGCGACGGGCGCTCGGCGCTGTCGTCAAGCCGTTCCCACCGGATCTGCTCCGGCTCGAAGAAGCGGTTCTCGATGCCTGAAATTTGGTAACTTGGTCAAGTCTACGGGGCGGCCGCTGATTGTCCGTCTGGCCGGAAATTGGGACCCTTGTAATCGGTTGCTAGGCGATAGTGTTTTTGCTGGCAATATAATGTTAGGGGCGCGGGTGTTAGTTAGAGTGTTGTTTGGGTTTCTTGGGCCTTGGGAATGACGCATTACGGGCGTGAGAAAAATTAATTGAGCTTTCTCAAGGTGATTCAGGGCTTTCGTTGTAGTTAAAGATTTCCCGGGAAAGGCTTGGAAATGGGAATCTGTTCCCACAGCGTCTATTTTCGACAAATTAACAGTGTCCGCGCTTAGCTAGTTGTCAAAAATGGAACCGGAAAACCGGAAAGAATATCGAACTGATCGATCAGTCGATTTGACATAACAATTTTTCGAAAAAATTGCCAATTTATTTGTTTCTGGCAGTTCTCTAAATCGATACATTATTTCGACTTTTTCTAGCAGTTCTTGAATAATTCACTGCTCAAATTGAAATCCGAAAAATTTAGCAAAAAAATTCGAAAAAATCGGATCTTTACACGAATTCTTTACAGTTTTTTGTCTAGCAATTCTTGAAATTTCACTGTATTTTAAAACCCCAAAAAATTAAACTAAAAAGCCCAAAAGCGCCAATATTCCCAGACTCACCAATCCCAGTATCAACGGGCGTGGTGGGCACGTAGGTGCAAGCCGCGGCCTCCGGGCCCCTCTTATTACATATGAAGTCCAGCCCGGGGTGGTGCTGGCGCGGCGGGCAGTCGACTTGCGGGGCTTCGCTTCCTCGGCGTTGATATGGGCCACGGCGGCCAAAGCGGCCGGCCAGCTTGTAGCCGTTGCCCCGGTGACTTGAGCGTGGTCGGCGCCTTGGGGCCAAGCAGAGGGCCCCGCCCCCAAGGGCACCCTTTGGACCCGGGGGCCCCGCACGCAAAGTGTCGCTGCCGTGAAGCACCTTGATTAATCCGGTGAAGCCCCGGCCTAAAAGGGTGCTTTGTCTTGTGGAGGAGTTGAGGGGGAACTTTGGAGTTGCTTGGGTATTGTCATGTGGTTGGAGAGGGGAAGACTTATTAGGGGATGGATCGGTCTTTTCGGAGTTGGTGGAGTTTTAGAATATTATTATTATTATGTAGATCTGTAGAATGGCAACTAGAGAAAATAATTAGACTTTTGATCTGGTGAACTTTTGACGTAGGGCAGTACCCCATTTAAATCAGGCAAGCAAATTTCGAGCTCACGATTTTGAAACTAATTGCTTTTTCAAGTTATTATTTGTCGAACTTATGATTTTCCAGTTCAGGATTTGCGAAAATCTAGGTTTTTAATTAATTACGTCTCCGCATACAGTAAAACATCAATAAAAGTGTAAAATGAAAAATAGACTAGAGCGCCAAGCAGACATCTGCTGAATATCTCGAGATCGTTGGCCCGAACCGCACAATCGTTTGTTGTCTTCGGGGGCAGTCATGTCAATTAATTCTCGACCGTTGCCCGGGCCGGTGTGTGGGCTCACAGTTGCCGCTTTTTGCGGCTTGGTTGTGGTGGGCAGAGAGAGAAAGAAAAATTTGGGGTGTACAATTCGGGGAATAGCAAAATGATTGATCATCACCAACTCATCCACGTTTTTCAGTAAATACATGCGCGCCCTAGAGGACTTCTACGAGAAGAACCATCCCGAGTTCGTCTCCCTGCGTACGAAGTGCAAGGAGATCCTTCAGGTAAATTTGGTGCTTTTAAAATTGAGCTAAATCCCGATAAAAAAATTAATTTAGAGAAAACTTGAATTTTCTTCGCGAATAAGGAACGAAAATTTGCTGCCTTCGCCCTAAATAACGAATAAATTCCGCTAGAATGATTTTTGGGGGCCCCGTCTGCCGCGAGGCCCTTACTCAAGCAGCTCGTTATTTTGCGCTCACTTCCGTGCCTAGATCGTAGCGTCTGATTGAGGCATTTAGCGCCGTTTTATAGCTCTTTAATTCGTGAAAAATACCTTTATATATGAGAGGATTTTTGTTTTTATAGAAAAAGCAGATATTGTTAAGTGACAACTATTTACGCCCTAATTCCAGGAAGAAGAGGATCTCTCCGAAATCGTGCAGCTCGTCGGTAAGGCCTCGCTGGCCGAGTCGGACAAGATCACGCTTGAGGTAATTGTCGTTTCCGGGTTCTGAAAAATTCCCCTTTTCCAGGTCGCCAAGATCATCAAGGACGACTTCTTGCAGCAGAACGGTTACACCCCGTACGATCGCTTCTGCCCCTTCTACAAGACCGTCGGCATGCTGAAGAACATGTCAGTGGAAATTTTGGCTAGATATTGTCACAGTATTCGCATTCTTTGGTTTAATTTTTCAACGTCATATTTTAGGATCTCCTTCTACGACCTGGCCCGCCACTCGGTCGAGTCGACGGCCCAGTCGGAGAACAAGGTGACCTGGGCGACGATCAGGGACCACATGGGAGACCTCATCTACCAGCTCTCCGCCATGAAGTTCAAGGTTTGTTTTTGGCTTTATGGATTCGAATTCTTTTCGTTGGTATTTCCGACTGGATCCGAATTTTTCTAATGTTAATAGAGGTCATATTGCTACACATTTTCATTTTTCCTCAGATTGTAAACGTCCTGAATTGGATGAGAAAAGAAATTGTTGATACCGAAAACCCGAATTTTGGCCGATTTTACTCATGTTCTTTGCAGGACCCGCAAAAGGACGGTGAGGCGAAGATCAAGAAGGACTACGACGACCTGCTCGAGGCCATGCAAAACTCGTTCCGAAACCTCGAGGACTAAAGTGGACCGATTGCATCACGTCACAACCCCCAAATTTTCGACCCAACACCCTCATGCCCTTCCGTGCTCTCTCACTTCCCCCCGCTCTCTTAGCTGTTGTTTGTAGCCTCTAGGAAAATGGCCGGCGTTTCACTGTCCCAGCTTGTGTATTAAATTCCCCCCAATCAAATCTCGAACATTCCGCCCTACCGTAGCCTTGTGATATAGTAATAAATTATAAAAAGTAACGCAGATTTTTATAAAGAATTTTTCTTCCAGACACCGTGTGATTGCCACTTTGCCCACCACCATCACCACCCCAAAAACTCTAGTTGTGTGTGTCCGCGTGTACATGTGATATCTGTCCGACTAAATATTCACCACCTTCTTTTTTCTCTCTCTCTCTCTCTCTCTGGCTCTACGATATGCCCATCCGACAGCAATAATCGTGCTGGATGCGTTGTGCGTTTTTATATCTGCTCGTTTTTTGTTTCTTTTGAGATAATTTGTAGAGATTTCACGTAGAATAAAGGTTTACAGAACAGGCCAGCGCGAAAGAAATGGCAATACAAGTTTAGAGGTTACGAATATCGAAAAACAATATGAATATTGGCCGACGCTTCAAATTATTTTTGTGCGTATTTTCAGCCGAACTTTTTTGAATTTGTCCACATCGAGAATTTCTAAAAGTCGCATTTTCATCGACTTACAGCTTAAAAAAGCCTTTTAAAATAGTTATATTTTGTGACTTATTTCTCTTTTTCTATACATTTGATTAAATAATTTAATAATATCCTACTATATATAAAAAAATAGTGTATGTGTGTGTATGACACTTTGCATACACTTCCGTCAGTATGTCCGGAGGATAACTCAATAAGGACGGGGTTTTAGGGCGTGTATGATACGTCATTAGGTGTGTAATGGCCCTGAGATGACTGCACACCTATTAGAACCATGAAAATAAGCTATTTTTGACATTAAAATTAGGGTTTTTGCTAAGTTTTCGACCAACCTCTTTGTTAGGAAGGGATTAGCATATGCCGGAAGTAGAAAAAGCCTATATAAAGGGCTGGCATGAGAGTTTTCCATTTTGCTCAGTTGAGGCGAAATGATGCAAAGTTTACAATCTCATTGGGCCCAGACGGGGCCAGGGTTGAAAAGTCGCGCAGCGGCTTTTCAGCCCTCGTATCCTGTTAAAATGTTAGCATCGACTTTTTAGCTTGCAGCTCTCGCCCTTTCTGGCTTGTCGCTTTGTAGATTTAGTACGTTTACCGCGTTACACCGTTTTGAGAAAGTTATTTTTTTGGTAACTTACCGCGTCCAAAAACACGACTTTCAAAAGAGTTTCATTTATTTGCTTTATTTTCATTAAATCCCCTTAAATCGGCATTGTTTCTGTTAAATTTCTGTTATAGTATTCGTGCGTTAACGGCTCTCTTAAAATATTATATTGGGCGTTTTAGATTTCAGTTCTCATGTTTTCGATGCCTTTAATTTTTGTAGATTCCCAGGGATCAATGACCATTTTTCCAGGATGTCCGCCACCCTCGGACTCGGCTGCTATATCCTAACAGCAAAGGCCAACATTTTCCTGGTTCCGGAAGAGCCGGAAGCCCAAATAGAAGTGCTGAAAATTCCGGAGGAAGCAACAAAGGGCGCAGACGGGAAAGATGTCGAGGATTTTGAGGTGTGAACAAGCAGGATTTTGCCAATTATGCGTTTCTTTTAAGATAATCTGCTCCACGAAAGAAGTCGCACAGAGTTCCATGTTCGCTGTGGGCACCTCCGCGAAGACGTGCGTCATCTACCATGCAAAACCTGGGCAATTAGAAGTTTGCCGCTGGTTCCGCGTCCCGAAGGCGCCGACGTCGATCGTTTTTGATAATAGGGGAAATGTGGTGCGTTTTTACGAAGGAAAAAAAGTTTTTCGCCGTATTAGTCGGTTTATTTTTTATCTAAATTCTTTAGCTGTTTTTCTTCAATTTTCGAGCTTTTTAACCTTGTTTTTTTCAGGTCGTCGGTGACCGGTCGGGCAACGTCACGCAGTACAGATGTACCGAAGCGCACATGGGACGACACGAGAATGGTTCGTTATAAATTTAAGAGTTTTATCATAAAGTTAAAATTAACGTTCAAATTTACTTTTAACTAGGTTCAATTTTACTACTGAAAAAAATTACCCTTTTTTTTAGATGAAGACTGCAAATTCGAGGGCAGCCCGCTGGCTGGCGGCGTCACGATGATCCTGGACGTGGCTTTTTCGGCTGACTTCAAATATCTTTTGACCGCCGATCGGGATGAGAAAATTAAAGTTTACCGGTGAGCTTTTATCGGTCTCTGTTCTGAAAATTATTTTAAATAAACAAACTATTATTAAATAAATCGACCATGATTATTTTAAACCCTTTTCTAGGTATCCCGACTGCTCAGCAATGTACGCGGTGGCTTTCGGCCATACGGAATATGTGCGATCGGTGGACGTATATGATAGAACCGTTGTTAGTGGAGGTATGATGCGTTTTTGTATGAAATTTGAGTTTTAGAAATTTTTTAGTATAAATTTTTGTGTTTAGGCGGTGATGGTCGTTTATACCTTCACGATCTGCACGACGGGACGCAACTCTTTACGACGAATAAGCTTGGGGAGAAGCCGATTCGGAGGTTGAGCATTGTGGTGAGCTTTTTTAGAAACACCTCTGCTTAAAATGACGCTTTTTGCTGATTTTAAAGATGCACATAAAAGTTAAAAAAGTTTCATAACCCATTTTTTTGCCACTTTTCTTCTAAAATCTGTAAAACTTTATTTTTACAGGAAATCGAAGGCTTCCCAAACCTTTTCGTCACCTTCGAAGCCAGCCCCAGGTTGTACGTCTTCGGCTTGACCGCCAAGAACAATCTCGAATTGAAAGACGCTGTCGAGGCTCAATCGCCAATCGTCGATTTCCACGTCATCGCGGACCGGAATTCAATCTTGTTGTTGACCCGGTAAGTCACTTTTTAACAAATTCTTTTTTATGAGCTATTTTTTATTGAACTTTATTTTTAGTGATGGTCTGGACATCTACAATCCCAGCGACAACACCACTATTCGACGAACCAGCAGCGAGCTGGTCGAGGCGGTGACGACGATCGCTGAGGAATTGTCGCTGTTCAAGAATGTTACACATCAGGTGCGCAGTTGTTTTCTGATTATTGTTTTTATCGGGGGGCTGGGGTACCGAAATTTTATATAAGTCTAGAATGCCTAGTAAATCAATCGAAAATAGTTTACTAATGTTATTAGTATAATCTGACTAAACTTCAGCTAGAAAAACCATCTGCAAGACTAATTTTTTTGAAAGTGTCGTAGTTTTTGTATTTTTTGTCTTTTGAATAAAAATTTGCAATTTTTACGTTTTGATGTAGCAAACAAAGCAGTTTTGAAACCACTCGGCGCTCTACATTTGAAAAATTAAGTTCTCAGAAAAAATTTTTGCTCCAACCCCCGATAAGGCGAAAGAACCGAGCATTAGTTGAATTCTTCTTTCCAGAACATGCAAGAATACCACGAGCGCAAGGCGAAAAAGATGGCCAACGTCGCCGAGAAGAAGGCCGCCGTCAAAATCAAGTCCTAAATGTTTCAATTTCGCGTGTTTTTTGTTATTTTGGCTTTACTGTTGAGTTTATGTTGTTCGATTGTTTGTTTCGTTATGGGATTTCCGATTTTGAGGTATATAAATGGTTACCGGGTAAAAAAAGCGTTAAACCTGTTTATTGATCGTTTTAAAAGCATATTATTTATCTTTTTCGAATAGCATCGCAATTTCTGTGGTCGTGTCGTAGTTGGTTAGCCTAGAAAAGGGGTTAGAACTTTCGGAGAAGGTAGATTTCGATTTCCTCTACCACCCGCATCATCACAACACCGGCTTACGATAGGAAGGGGTATAGCTTTAGATCTCGAGTTGGCTAAACGGGGATTGGTCAAGGGGAAGTGGCCAAACACGAGACAACATTTGGTAACGAAAGCTTTAGAGAAAACGGTCCTTGATTCAATCGGAATTCATGGGCTTTTTTCAGGGTTCTCTGCGAAGCGCGGGATAATTTTTCGCTAGATTCATACGTTTTTGCGCTAATTTTTGGCAAGATAAATCTAGTTTTCGAGTTCTAGGGAAAAGCACCTTTTCGAGCATGAAATTTCGGGATTTTTGAAATTCTCCAGCTTACAATTAGTGCCAAGTTTCTTCAGAACGAACTGTTTGGCCGGTTTTCTCGGCAAGCTTGCGAGTAGATCTTTAGGTGTTGTATTCGATCGCGATTGCGAGTTTTAAACATATTTTTGATGGGCGAAAATTATACGGCTAGTGTTTTCTTTTGACGCGCATTACAATTTATCGCGAGTTTTAAAAGTTTTGTTCTTACTTTGGAAGAAAAGCTCGTCGTTTTTTTGTACAAGTACAACGCGCTTTTCTGAGGATAAAATGAAGATTTTTGAAAACCCGTATCTTTTTGAAACCAAGGCACCAACGACACACACCTATCCACACCACCACCACCAACAATTCACGGCACGCCGACGATGAACTCTTGACGAAATGCCGACCAGAACATGAGCACGGTGGTGCACAGGTTGAGCACAAGGAAACACGACATGGCCGTCACGTCGGCCAGGGAGAAGAAGCGCTGCCAGAGCACGTGGATCTAAACGGGAAGCATTTTCTTAAATAATCGTTGCTAGCCGCGTTTTTAATTGATTTCCTACGTCTTTTACTGCTTACGCAAACAGTAAAAAAAAGTTAGGTTAAACCTAGTTTACCTTAAAGGGATCGTATTTAATTTTTTACCTCTTTTTCCGCCTCTATCGTGGCCAACTGGGCCCGAATCAGGTTGATACAAGCTCTAAAAAATGCAAATTTATCTGGAAAGCTTGACTTTAACTTACCGCACTTCCCGGACGACATCATTTTTGCTGTTGAACGAGCAGATCGAGTCGTCAGAATGCGTGACGTCGAAATCCAACTAAGATTGCGTAAAAATAGCTAGATTTTAGACACCAATTTCACAGCAATTTTCTAGCCCCCTTCAAAAACTTACATCGAGGCACCGGGGAACTTCGTAATAGTCCTAAATTTTGGCATTTTAGTTTCGCGCGTTCTAGCGACTTTAATATTTTAATTTTTTTTAATTTAACGTGTTATTTATGGTTTTGAATTGCTTTAATTTAACTTTAACTGAATTAATTGAATGGTTTAATTAATTAGCGTCTAGAATCAACTTTACTACAATTTTAACCGATACATATATACAAAATTTTTTACGTTATTCATACTGACCTTGTGCTCCTGGAACAGATTGAGGATCCACCGCGGCACCGGCGTATTCATATACAGTACCCGTTCGTGGATGAATATTGTTATTACCGAGACGGCAATGGCCAGTATTGAGATCGCCGTTTGGATCAGCACATAGCGACCTAAATTCGGAGGTTTTAACCGTTGTTTAAGAGCGTTTCGTAGTTTTCGATTTATGCGTCTTGTTTTGTACCCACTGGAAATTGCAGCTTCTATCCTACTTTATCTTTCCAACATTTGCATTTTTTACGAATTTTCAGTTTAATTTAGAGCCTATTTCACTTTTTTGGATTCGGTTTGCGTCTTTGGCGTGATTTTTTACGTTTTTAAGCGTAGTTTGGAGCCTGTCGTTCATGTTTTTGGAAATTGGCATACGCTCGATTTTGACTTCCCAGCCCCTTTAATTCAAATCCAAATGACCTACCTAGCAACGGCACCCCTTCTGAACTTTTTGGCATCTCGCTGGAGACCATGTCGAGGATGACGGCCATTGTTAGAAGGGTTGTGAGCCCAAGTGAGACCTATAAATGTTGTTTTTGAAGGGGTTAGCAGTGCAAAGAATCGACCCTTGCGTTGGCTAGATCTAGCCACTCCAAATGGCGTGTATAAACGCGTTTAGATTTTTGTTCCAAGCTGGGCCCTCAAGTGATATCGACTAGATACAAAATGGCTGATTTGGGGTACCGCGTAGTTGTAGAGAGCTAGTCGGACAAAAGGGTCGATTTTGGCGCTTTGCAGCCCCTTTAAAACAGGCCCAAACTAGATCAATCCCACCTTTTCCTGCCTATCTCCCTGTATGCCATGCGGTGTGAATAATCCGACAATTGACACGTTGACGATTAGAAATGTCGGGATTAAAATCACGACGATATAGTTTAAAGGTTTTCGCTTGATTTTCTAAACCGTTTAAAGTTGTCGTTTTCGATTTTTTTGTCCTTACCAAATGGTAGAAAATTTCCTCATAAGTATTCATCACGCCGTTCGTTCCTTCATAGGATTTGACGACTTTTTCGGCAGTGAAGTTGAGGATTTCCCACTCGAATTGTGCCTAAAAAAGAGAATAGATTTTTATAACGATAGATCCTATCCTCTTTCTCCTTTCTCTCTCTCTCTCTCTCTCTCTCTCTCTCTCTCTCTCACTCTCCCCTCCCTGTTTCTACTTACAGCATTTGTAGGCACATTCACCGGCTTCATGATATGTGATATTTGGTGGAATTGATAGCTCCACGATCCGAATTGAAGTGAGCACAACTGGGTGTCGAACGGGAAATTCAGGATCGACATCGAGCAGCCGATGTCGATCAGCTTAAGCATTCATGTCGTCGCTTTTCGAACCTGTTACCCCCTTGAAAAGGTGGGCGCAGTTGTATTTATGACTTCGACTTTGCCAAGTCGGCTTTATCTTTAGGTCTGCTTAAAAATTAGGAACTGACCTTGTTGAAGTCGGCCTCAACGATCCCCTCGTGGCTGACCCGCACGTTGAATTGCGTCAGGGGCTCTTTTACGTCGACTCTATGATAGTCTGGTCGTATGCTGTAAAAATCGGCTTACGTGTTGAATATGTATCCATCCGGAAGCCAGACTTGCGTTGCTGGTACGTTTATCGATCGTATCCCCGACCATTCCGTCGCGTTCCACGTCAGGAATTCGTCTTTCCAGCTCTAAAAAGGCAGAGATAGGCTTTTTGTATCGTGGTTTTTTACAAAAATTAGAATTTCTTTGAAAACATATCTTTCATTTTATTTTTATCTTTTCCCCTAATTTTTTTCTCCTTAATTTCTATTTTAGAGATAGTTTTCCGACTTTTTAATTTCCCACTTTTTTTGGCGACCAAAGTACTTTGTTTTTTTCCGTTTCCAGAAGGCACTTCAATCGCTAAATCCCCCTCATTTCCAGGGCGTACGTGGGTGTGTGCCGTACTCGAGTCCTTCCACCACTATCCCCCATCACCCCTATTTGGTGCCCTCCTTGAAAAAGGCGGTGGGAACGCTCCGAATTTCTGAGCGGAAGCTGACTGCCAACCAGCAAGCAGCCAGCGAGAAGCCGAGCGGGGCATCATTTAGGGGCAATCATTGACGCTTTTTGAACTCGCGCTAAAGTCTTGCGAGGCGGTTTTTAAAGGGGTTGCTAGAGCTTTGCGAAAACTGAAAAGCAATCGTCAAGGGAAATACGAAAAAGTGGAGTTTTGGACTTAAATTGACCAGAAAAATCGGAAAATGGAGAAAACAACGAAACAGCTTTTAGTGAACAATCGGTAAAATCCAGTAGAATTTTAACGGGGGGGGTGGCAAATCGCCACTTTGCACCGGCTAGGTCTAGAAAACTACGAACGGCGAGACCCAGCCGACAAACGGGTCGATTCCCTCATCTTCTGGCGCTTTTAAATCTGGTCAGGAAAAAATTAAGCTAAGTGAAAGCGTAGAAAAACCCAAAACTCACTTGCGGAAACCATAAAAGCAACTTGATCTGCTCGCTCAGCTCGTTCTGGAAAAAAAAATAGTTTGAGCCCTTGACGAATCGACAAGCGAGCGCACTGAGCGCAATAAAAAGCGTGATTGGAAAATAGTGAAAATTTCCAATTATAATTGGCGCAAAAAACAAGCTAAGCATTTCTAAAAAATTGCCCACCACTTCGATCAGACTGTAGATTTGTGGCTGGACGGTGATGTTGAGCTTGGAGTTGTAATCCCGGACCGGTCGGGCTAGCTGAAAATGGGGAATTTCGACGTGATATGGCCTGCAACCATAATTTTTTAATTTTTTTGTAGCTGGCTAGCAAACATCATTGCGGAATCCGATTTCTACAATTTATGAACGTACCTTTAAAATTAAATTCTGCGTGTTTTAGAAGTATCCACGCCTCAAAATTTAAGCCATTTTTGGGAAGGTTGAGCACCGCGTGGCTGGCAAATACTATTTAGAAAACGATTTTATGCTATTTACAGACTCCCGGAGTTTCGAATAAAATTTAGCGTATTTTAAAAGCGATTTAACAACAAAGACAATCATTTGTATGGAAAAATTCAACTTGTCATCCTTGAAACATATTTTCAAAATCATTTAATTAGTTTACCATGATTTTTAGTGTTTAAATTCTTTTTTGTCAATCTTATTTTTGTTATTCTGCAGCGCTTTATAGTAATACCAGATGGTTACAGTCGCTTCGCGACTGCAACCATCTGGCCTTCGGGCTACCCTACATGTCCCACTCCACCACATCCTTTCCCACCTCCATCAATACCCCCGATAGCCGAAATCCCCTTCAAAAACTACCTAAATACCTTCCTGATGGCTTCAGATACCCTCCATGGCTGAAATCCCCTTCAAAAACTACCTAAATACCTTCCTGATGGCTTCAGATACCCCCATGGCTGAAATCCCGTTCAAAAACTACCTAAATACCTTCCTGATGGCTTCAGATACCTCCCATGGCTGAAACCCCCTTCAAAAACTACCTAAATCCGTTCCCGGTGGCTTAAGATACCTCCCCTAGCCTAAATCCCCTTAAAAAGCAAAAATAACGACCGACCGGATGGAATGAGAGAAAAAAGAAATGAAATCCCCCGTGAAAATTTTCATCCACGAAACGCGCGCCACCTGGCTCACTATGTCCAAAATCACCCCAACCTCCGTCCCCACCCCTTTTACTAAGGGAAAAACTTTCAAAGTTAATTTTAATAATTTCAACAAAAAGTTTTTCATAATTTTTTGATCAGTTTGGGGGCTTCTGACCACGCTCTATCCGAATCCGAAGAGAGCTAAGCTCTAGCTCCTTTCCCCTTCGAGTTGAATTCGGCTTCAGACACACGGACGGACGGACGGACGTCTCTACTTTTTTATTATAGTTGATTTTCGGCGAAAAGGAGCTAAAATCCGTCCGTTTCCGCTTTTTTCGGGCTTTCCACTGACCTTATTATATCCAGCCAGAAGATGTGAGACGAGATCCTTTTCGTAGACGGCTGAGACGAGATTAATCAGGAAACAGATGAGGAACGGAATTTTCGACAAATTCAATCTAGTAGATATCCACATTTCGAGTGCTCCAAATGACAATAGAGGCGAAGGTGTGTCACATCATTTCCAACAGGCCGCCCTCATCATTTGGCTAGCCCATTCGAGTGTGGGAATTCAGGGTTCGTCACAAAGTCGGCGCCTATTATCGAAAACTGTAAAAATAGAGGTATTAAAATGAACTGTTATGGAAAACGAAGTTTATGAGTGTTTTGAGAACTTAGAAGTAGAATGTAGGTTTCCGTGCAAGATTTGGCTGGTGGCACGGTTTAAAAGAATCGGCAAGGAAAGCGGGCCTATTTTTGGCTGTGGATTTTCATTATAGGAAAAACCGTAAAAATATAGCGACTAAAATGGAATGTGCTGACGACGAGGTTTATGCGTGTTTTGAGAGTATCGAAGGAGAACTTCGCTTTTCGATCTGACGATATGACTCATAGCACGGCCCATTTAAAGGAACCGGCAAGGCAAGCGGCTAAGTTTTTTTGCTGTGGATTTTTAGTATAGCAGGACTATAGATAAATTTCACCCGAGGGCGGGGGAATCCATAGACGAGCCTTGTCAGCCCCTTTAAAAGTTGCAACTTACTCGATGGCAGGTGATGTAAGGCGAGTGAGAGAGGGAGAGAGAGTGGAGAGAGTGAGAGAGAAAAACACAGAGAGAGAGAGAGTGAAAGAGAAAGACAGAGAGAGAGAGAGAGAGAGAGAGAGAGAGAGAGAGAGCTGATCCAAAATTCGTAAGAAAACTTCGTATTTAGCCGCTTCCTGTAAGCACAATTTGCATTCTCTCGCTAGTCCTTGCTAAATTCTAAAATTTTGACGTGGAACGCATCGAAGCAGACACAACAAGCAACGAGTTGCACGACAAAACGAGACTCTCAAAGAGTGGGCGTGGCTTCTTTCCGGCATTTTGCGGGTGCAATTTGTATGCGGGGGGAGTTAGGAGGGGGGCGTCATCATCGTGAAAAATGAAAATTTTTTGTTTCTACGGAATTTTCAAATTAGAATGCCGTTCGATATTTTTTAATAGAGTAGAAAAACATTCCGAAGATTTAGACGCGGAAACCATGCATTTTTAAGTAGAGCCCTGACGCACTTTGGAATTGAGAAAAACGTGAAACAAATCAAGCGGTGTTTTTTTTTGGGTGTTTTGTTTATATTTAAAATGTTAATAATGTAAAATTTATAAAAATACAGACATTTTCTATATTTTCTAATTTTGGATTTCAATAGAAAATTTATAGTTATAAAATGACCTAGTTCATTCTCTGATACCAAAATTGCGAGTCTAGTCACCATCCAGAGCTCATGGATCGGGGTGGCCATCCAAAAATTTGGAATGAGGAGGGGGAGGGGTAGAAGAGACTTTATGGGGCCCAACCCACCTTCATAGACGAATGGCAGGATGGGATACACATCGAAGAGAAAAAGAAGAAAAGGGAAGAATGGGCTGAGAACTCTGAGACCGAACGGGGTGGAGTGAGCATTTGGTAGATCAGGTGGTGGCGCTGGTGGGAAAGAAGGAGAAGCTAGTGGACAAGAGCATCGGGTTTGAAATATTGGTACACATAGGATAACGGGGGGGAATAAAATAACGGGGGGGCACTCATTATTATGAAATTTGCAATTACTGAGGGATTTTGCGAGTGCCATTCGATAGAGCGTCGAAAAATATACTAAGAGAATTAATTTCAGCCCGAAATAATGTAATAGAAATTTTTTATTGAATAAACAAAAATTCAGGAAAATCTATGGGCAGCACATAGGATAACGGGGGGGGGAAAGTCAAATTTTCGAAATTTTCGGTATTTTGAAAACGTCATTCGATAAAGCGTCGAAAACTGCCCTAGGAAAATTAATTTCAGCCCGAAATAATGTAAATGAAATTTTTTATCGAATAAACAAAAATTGATCAAAATCCATGGGCAGCACATAGGATAACGGGGGGGGGGAAGCCAAATTTGTGAGATTTTCGATATTTTGAAAACGCGAATCGATAGAACATCAAAAAATATACTAAGAGATTTTTTTACAACGCGAAAAAATGTATTATAAAAGTTTTATAGCCTAAAAACTATTTTTGAAAACTATGGGCAGCACATAGGATAACAGGGGGGGAAAAAATTTTCGGCGTTTTGAATATTTTCGAAATTTTGAAAATGCCATTCGATAGAGGACCGAAAAATATACTAAGAGTTTTTTTACAGCCCGAAAAAAGCTTATTTAAAAATACTTTTATCATATAAAAAGTTTGAGTGCCCCCCCGTTATTTTTTTCCCCCCCCCGTTATCCTATGTGTACCGAAATATTCTTTAAAGGGAAAGACTACAATACTGGGTGTCCCAAAAAAAGCACCCCCCTCTAGCGGTCCGGGGGAAGCTCAGATCGGGATAATTTTTATACCATTCGAAAGCTCTCGGAAAGGCGAGAAAACAAGCGGGATTTGTTTTATGAGATTTATTTTTATACGCTGGATATTCAACGTTTTTCTAAAAAACAGGTAGATTTTCAATAGGAATTTCGCGATTAGCATGCAGATCTCGCGTAAATCGCCGTTTTCATGGTTTTTGGACGTAAAATTTGCCAATAAAAATAGATAATAAAGAAAATGAACCCTCCTTGTTCGCTCGCCTTTTCAAGAGCTTTTGACAGATACCTAAACGATGAAAACCTGACACGACTGCGCGCCGCTAGAGGGGGTGCTTTTTTTTGCGACACCCTGTAATTTACATAACATCGTCATTTCCGACTTAAATTTCTTCAGTTTTGCCTTTAAAGGCCTCTGGAAAGATGGGATTGGTCAAAAAGCAATAAGGAATGCCCCGGACGGGGGTCGAACCAGGGATGGTCCTCTACGCAGTCCAACGCGCTACCCCCACACCAAAGGGGCCGAGTGGGTGGCGGCGGCGGAGGGGCCCCAAATACCCTAGGGGCGGATTGGTGCGCTTTACTGGGCAACAATTGAAAATAAGGCTATTCATAAATAATAATAACGAAAAATGCTATAGAAAAGCTTGCTAAAGGAAAGCAAAGTACTCCCAAAAATTTCCTGGTGTGTTTTATGCCTTTACTGAGGATTTTTCAACTAAAGAGCATCCCAAAAACCTCTTTCCGCTCAGAACATGGCTGTCTTCTATCCAATCAGCCTCAAATTTTTACCAACGATGGGGATGGCTAAAAACTATTTCTATGGAAGTTTCTGGCCCAGAATATCGTCAATCAAAAAAGTTATAGCTATAAATCTGTTTTCTTGAAACCCAGTCAGGGGCTTTGGGGGCCCTTACGCGATGGAAAGCGTGCATGGTATCGCCCCGTCGGTCCCTCACCCCTGGGGACGTCCGGCCATCTTTCCAACGGTCTTTAAAGGAACCAGGAAACCCGATAATCGACCTCTCCCGTCGACTGGTGTCGAAAGCTATCAGCTATGAGAGAAATTCACGCTATAAACCTTTAAAGTTACAAAGCAAGCAGTAGATTACGCAACAATACTCGTTCAGAACGCTTAGACCTTCAAAGGGCCGCTTAAAGGGATTGCGAAGCGAAAAATTCCACTCTTCGTTTCGACTAGGCGTAGACAGCCAGCAAAAACAGTGCAAGAACGCGTTGAATCCCATTTTTCTAGAGTATTTCGGGTGGCAAATTTGCATCATGCGACCACCTGTAATGGAAGCTGTTGATACGACGAGGCAGAAGTTTGTGCTGTTTTTTTTTGTCAGCAAGAGGAATCGGTGTGTTGGGATTTGACAATAAGGCCCGGATTTGAGTATTCTTCTCGTTTTTAAAATGCATCACGGTATGGGTTTTCTCGCGTAAATTTCCTTCCAGGGTAATCCTAAACACGGCATGCCGTAATCGGTTACAACCAAACCGCCTGAACAAGTCCTTTATCTACGGATGATGGTAAATCAATAACAAAAATTTTGAAAAAATCTATCCGTATTTAATTGGCACAACAAATAAATAAATTAAATCAGCGAATTAAATTTTGAACACGGCTTATGGTCGCCCGCCCGGAAAATGCTCTCCAATCGGGGTGCATCGGGGGACATCCGAGGCAGGATATGTGGTGTACAGCTAAAAGTAGGGAGTAAACGTGCGGTAAGTGGGAAAAATGTAATTATAGGCAGAAATGGTAGCAAACCTGCTTGGAAACCATTAGATGGCTTAGTTTTTGGGCGGTGGCTAGTAGGTCTTGATCCTTGTAGGCGATCGCGTAATCCGGTTCGTCGGCGAGGACGCGGCTGCAAATATCGGAGAGGAAGCCCTGAAATGTTCAGAATTATTTCTCTCTCCCTCTCTCTCGCCCTCTCCGTCTCTCTCTCTCTCTCTCTCTCTCTCTCTCTCTCTCTCTTTATCTCTCTCTCTCTCTCCTACTCACAATCTTCTCCAAATCCTTGACCATGATCTGCCCCATTTCCATAATATATTCATGTCTCATCGCGTATTCCGGCCTCAACATGTCCATCATACACCTAATTACGCGATGACGGTAGAAGTATCAAAACGTACTTTTCATTACTCTCCTGAGACCAATAAGCCAAGCGGCGGAGTACCGTATACCGATCCAACCCGATCACTAAAAATCAAGCATTTCGTAAGATGAAGTTAAAAAATCCGCGTCAATGGCAATGAAGCGTACTGGTAGTGAGGAAATCCGTGGCCTGTTTCATTTCGGCATCAAAAGCTGCAGGATTGCCGCGATAGTCTTCGAAAGTCTTCGAAGTTTGAGCCAGGTAGATGTAGTCTAAAAAGATGAATATTCTTAGTTTTCGGGATTTCGGTGTTGAGGTTTTGGCTGTCGGGATTTAGGTTATCGGATTTTTGCCGGACGATATTTTTGAGTGCAAGTCGACTAAACTGGGTTTTTGGAAAACATCGCGAATTGTGCCTGGCAAACACCATAATTTCAAGCGTGTTTCCCCCCCTTTGATACCCTGCGTTTTAGAGTGATTTCTTGACAATAATAGGGTAAAAACGCGTATGACGTATGTGTCAAATATTTTTTACAACCCACTGCTCTTGTAGTGTTCATAATCATCAGCCTCCTCTGCTCCCAATTTCCCCCATCCGGGGCTCTGCTCGATCAGACGGAAAGTGTCCATTAATGCGTTCGTCAAGTTGACACGCGGCCAACTCATCGGGGCACAATTTAGGAGACTGTTGTAGACCTGAAAAAGGCAAGAAAAATAGGTTGTTGGCTCTAGTCGAGATTTATAGACAGAACACTACAAACCTCAAACATTTGCAGGGGTGAATAGTGATGACAGGCAAAGCTCAGGCTCATCGGATCCGATAGCGCAAAAGCCCTGGTGAAGAAAGTGTCCATTTTGTCGAGAATGTACTGAAAAATTGATTTAAGGAGACGAGAGCCTGTAATCGGCCTTTTTTATAGACTAGATCACGACACCTACGTACCACACCAAATTACGGGGAAAATTGAGGGATTTCCCCTCGTTGGCGTGTCATTTGACCCGCTGGTCCTGAAGATTGGATTTGGGCCTTCACCGTCCCATTAAAGACCGTCAGAACGATCAAAATTTCGTTAAAATCAAGAAATTGCGCACCGGGTGGGGGGTCGAACCCGCGATGGTTCGCTCCAAAGTCCGACGTGCTAGCCACTATACCACAGGGCCGAGTGGAGAAGGGAGTCAGAGCCGCCCCAAACCCCAGAGGGTCTTTGCCCAGTGCGGGGTGCAACTAATGACGCCTCTCTCTGCGGTTCGGGACCATGAAATTTCCGCCAGCGACATTTCCGCCAATTTGAGGCCAAAAACACACCAAACTTTCCAAATTAAAGATTTTCTTCGTGTTTTTGGCATTAATAAATTCAATCAACGTAAGTACATGCTAGTAGAGAAGAAATTACGATGCGGGAGGGTTGTTTTGGGCATCATATCGCGTGTTTTGCCTTTTCAGGCGCAAAATCCGATTTTGAAGAAAAAAGCCATCATACTTTTGTTATTTCTTCTGTAATAGCTAGATCCGGGCGAGAAAAAAATAGTTAGGATTGTTACACGCATGAAACAGCGCATTTTACAAGCATTTTGGCCGTTGGCGGAATTGTCGTTGGCGGAAATGTCATGGTCCCGCGAGTTCTTGGGGGCAGCACCCTCGGGGTGACAGTGTGCGTTCAAGAGTTCCAGCAGGCTTTAAAGAGATGCAGCGGCGAGAGAGGGCGCCCAGGGGAGAGGCGCAGAGACATTTTCTTTCCCGCGCGTAATCGATTGACTTATGCCGCCCCTATCCCATTAAGTTGATATCTCTAGATTCCCTAAAAAATTACCGCGTACAATCCGCTCCTCTGCACACTTCTCGTCCGCAAATTCTCGGAGATGCGCCGGTTGATAGTCGGCAATCCGTCGCGGAGGGCAGCCGTGAAGTTCTTCGTCGGCGGGTAGTTAGACACCTAAACGAACCTTTCTTCGATGAGGCTTTAAACGATCCCGGTGCGCCAGAATCGATCCATCTTTTTGCTAGGTCTAGACAGCGGCAGACCGCCTCAAAAAATGTAAAAGAATTTTCGGGAAATTTGAGCAGGACCAGAACGCAGCCGATTGTATGTTGTAATTTCAGGGCTATTGCTACATAGTTTTTAAACATATTTCTGACGATTTTTTATGCTTAGAAATCCGACCATAATGTCAGAATATTCTGCGGTGGCCAACATCTGCGCGATGGCTTGGCTATCGGGCAGGAATTCCTCCGTGAATCTGTTGTAAAAGTCGAACGGCTTTCGTTGGTGAAGCAACTCGGCCAGCACTTTTCCACCTGGCTGGATTTGATCTAAAAGATACGTTTAGATAGCCCGTTTTTGAGCTTTAAAGGATTAAAAATTAGGTTTCTGAAAAACCCATTTACTTAATTTCGCAGGGTCACGGGGTCACTACAGAATCGACAGAGTAACCATCTAAAAATTTACCTGAATACGGCACATCGTTTCCAATAATCGGAGCATTAAAATTGGCCGACCACGGTGGGGATATAGCAGAAATTGCACGTAGTAGTAAAGCACAGAAAATAGCTTGCATGTTTTTAAACTAGCTAGTCCAAGCCGAGTCTGTTGTTATAGAGTGCGGCTATTTATGCAAATTTTTGGCGGGCGGTTATATGGCTTTGACCTTGTGACGTATGCCTCGGGGATAGGATCAACCCAGATCTAATCAAAGAGCAAGGAAGGGTCGATATCTTGCGTAAACAACGTCATATTTGGCCTAGGGGTCTTTGTACTTCGTCCAAAAAAGGGATCTTACCAGAGCGTGAGAGAACGCGTGAGAGAGAGAGAAAGAGAAAGAGAGAGAGAGAGAAAGAGAGAGAGAGAAAGAGAGAGAGAGAGAGAAAGAGAGGGAGAGAAAGAGGGGGAGAGAAAGAAAGAGAGAGAGAGAGGGAGAGAGAGAGAAAGAGGGGGAGAGAAAGAGAAAGAGAGAGAGAGAGTGAGTAGAGAAAAAGAGGCAGCCAAATATAGAGAGAGACGGAGAAAGAGAGTGAGAGGGAGGGAGAGAGCGAGAGTGCGTGAGAGAGAGAAAGAGAGAGAGAGAGAGGGGAGAGAGAGAAAGAGAAAGAGAGAGAGGGTGAGAAGAGAAAGAGGGGGAGAGGGAGCCATATATAGAGAGAGACGGAGAAAGAGAGTGAGAGGGAGGGAGAGAGCGAGAGTGCGTGAGAGAGAAAGAGAGAGAGAGAGTGCGATAGAAAGAGAAAGGGAGGAGAAAGCTAGCTAGAGAAAGAATTGACGAGAGGGCAAGTGAGAGAGAGCGAGATACAGATAAATAGCGAACGATTGAGAATCGGCAAGAGACATTCAGAGCGAGAGACAGATAGAGAAAGAGAGATAGTGAGAGGGCGAGAGAAACAGAGAGAGAACACAGAGGTAGAGGGTGCAACTTTTTACTGTCACCCTCCCATCAAGTCTTCTTTTTCACGGTTCTGACCAAAATTCACCGCCTACGTGTTCCGGCTACAATATTGCACCTTGCGCGGGGCTTCAAATCGCGCGATTTTTTTCGTTTTTCCATATTTAATCCCCGTCCACCGAAAGTGGTGATTCAGACGTAAAGCCCGGGCTAATTTCCTCGGCACTCTCGGTCAGCTAACATCATCGAATGCTCGCCCCAAAATTGGTAACCGTTGGTCGGTGAGCCAATTAAATGGCGGGTTACGGTAGTTGGGTCGGGTTATTGAGGTCAGACGGGTTG